TCTGTCCCTGCTCTTCAGGAAACCTTCAGTAGGGTCAGATTAAGAGGTGATCAGATACGCAGGCTTCTGGATCAATCAGAGCAGGCTAAATGAAAGCATTTCCCAGCATTAATAAAGTTTTATTATAGCTGATGGGACGGGCATCTCTGATTGATCCAACGTTCAGGGCTGTGTGTGTGTGTGTGTGTGTGTGTGTGCGCGCGTTCACCTTGCAGGTCATAAAGGGAGTCCGCAGCCGTGGCCTTCTCGGATGGCGCCTGGGTGATGGGTTTGAGGTAGCACCGGTAGCCCTTCAGGATGGAGGCCATGAAACGAAGGAAGGCTTCCTGGATCTCCATCTCCAGGGCCATCTTCTTCTTGTGCCACGTGAAGTCAGCATCGATGGGGGTCAGGTCTAGTGCAGAATCCTCGTGTGGAGCCTGACGTACCGACACTGAAACACCAACCAGAGCTAGGGCGAGTTAGGAACAGTTATGGGTATCAGACTAAAGCCGGGCGTACACTGTGCGACTTTTTCACTTTTTTGAGCCGATTTTCCACTCGTGCGAGAATCCACGAGATCGGGGCGAGTGTTGCGCTGAGCGTCGTGTAGTGTACAGGGGGGTTACAAGAGGCGATTAACACCACGTGACCAGCTGCCGACAGAGCCGTGTCCAGGACTTTTAAAATGGGGTGGCACTTGTTTATGCATGGGTGGCACCAATGGTTATGCTTATTTATTTATTTACACAAATCGTTTATTTATTTACTTTCTAGTGAATTTTGGAGTTTCACATTGCACAATCACCATTTTTTTCTATTCATATTCTAGCTTTGTGGTGGTTAGCAAGTCACTTCTTGTTGCATTATTGCCACCAACTGGAGTTGAGTGGGACTCTAAATACTATTTATGTGAATATGAAAAAATAATAAATAATATTAATACTACAGAAATGTTCTGTAGGCCTGGGCTAGAAGACAAGGTGAAAGGTTCATGCTACCACACACTATTTTTGGAGTTTACAACTCAAGCCTTTTGTCGACGATGTAAAGTCAGTTTAAACTGGAACTTAGTGGAGTGGCACCTGGGGTGGCCAATCAGATTCCAAGGGTGGCATGTGCTACCCCAGGCCACTCCCTGGACACGCCCCTGGCTACCGATCAGAAATCGTGAGCTCGCACGGACTTCTGGAGTGTTTGATATTTTGCTCGTTCCTCGTGAGGGTTGAAGCGGCGCTGCGAGCAGCTGCGACCCAAAAAGTGCTCACGGCGCATGCGCAATCATGCATCAACACCGCTCACCCGCTATTTCCCCAATAACACACGTTCGTTTTTATTCTACACGTCTTTTACACACAATGACAAGGATTGTCAAGAAAGCGTGTTTGTCGTATTCATGTCAAATTAAACCAATCACAAAACACAGATTTACTTTCTTTATTTCGTTTTCCTCATCCAACCCCCATAAATCCCTGTGTGTCCTCCTGCAGCGCTCCCGAAGGACAACAGGCAAGACAAGACTAAAAAGTCTGACGTGTTGTGTAAAAACGGCTATTTCTAGCATATTTTTTAGGTCCGACGTGTTGCTACCAGACGTACAGTGTGAGCGCCTGGCTCGTGAGATCTGCTCTGCGAGGAAGTCGTACAGTTTGAGCTGAAGCTGAGTGCTACGAGTGAAAAAGTCGTACAGTGTCCGCCCGGCTCAACTAAATATACATGATTCTCTTCTATGCAGGGTATCTGCAGGTTTAAAGGAGCCAAATTTAAGACTTTTTAAGACCTTTTTTTAAGGCCACTTTGACCAAATTTAAGCTATTTTTAAAATTAAATTTAAGATATAATTTCCAGCTATTGCCTGGACCCGGTGCTAACCACGTTGCGAAATTGGGATTAACCATCCAGTTACCATTAAACTTCCCCATGGCGCAAGCTCCCACTAGCTGAGCGGGAGCGTGAACACAGTTTTGGAGAGTAGAGTGGTACAGCTGGTCAGCAGTGGGGTGGACACAGCCCTCAGCACATCTGAGAGTCTAGTGGAGCATTATCTGCCTCTTAGGGAGGAGGAAGAGGGTGAGTCAGGACAAGGAAAATAGACTGCTTACATCCAACAATGCTGTTCTTCCAGGGAGTGTTATTACACTGTAATAATTTAAAGGTTGAATCTACCAGTTAAGTGGTTCTACTAAGCCTAGCTGCTTAAATGTAAAACATAACAGTAAAGGTACTCTTAAAGTATCACGTTTGCCACTTCTCTCCCAATGGTTGAAGGTGGAATTACAGACAACCCTACCAGAGCCTCCAATGAGCATAGGCTGTGCCGCTGTTCGCTGTGGTTTAGGCTCTTTGCTTCATCTCCAAAGACATTACTCATGACGCCAACACAAGTAAAATTCTTGTGCTTTTTATTGACGGCCAGTAAACTGAAAAAAATTAGCCTTAATTTTAGCCATCATTGGTAAACTCCACCCCAGTCATTGCACTATGTGCCACTAGTGTACCTAATCAAACCACAAAACTGCTATTACCGTTTCAGGCCAGCAGAGGGAGACAATGCTGTCCAATGTGAATTATCTTCAGACTCTGAAACCAGTTGAACAGCTTTGGGTAGTTTTCCAGGAGCACTACTCGGAGTAACTCAGACTGGTACAGCTCAGCCCAATCATTGTTCCAAGAGCACGGTTCGGTATTTTCACTTTATTTTCTCCCCTAATTTTAGTCCCTCTCCGTTGAGGTACCTGGCAAGACGGAGTCGTGGTTCTTACCACTGGAGCTCGTTTACGATGAGCACTATTCAGCCTAAAACAGCTCTGTACAGCATGGGTTGAGTCAGAACATCTGAGTGTGGTTTTGCTCCCATGCCCGTGCCATGACAGAAAGTGGGTGCGCCCCTTATAGGTGAGGAAGAGGAAGGGGGAACCCGTGGCACACAGGGGTTGAGGTACCTCAACCGAGCAGGGACTGAAATTAGGGGAGAAAGGAGAGAGCAAATACTGAACCGTGTCCTTGGAAACTGCTCAGGCCAAGCTGCATCTGTCTGAGTTACTCCGAGTAGTGCTCCTGGAAAACTACCTTGATCGGCTAGGGGGCGGAGTCACTGGTTGCTCTGGAGATATCTGCCTTCTGCTTCACTGCCTGCAGCCATTTCCTGGTTCAGAGTCTGACAGGAAAGCCCGAATGTCCAGCTACTCCAACATTTCCAGCAGAGTTGTTTCTGTGGATAATACAAGTTACCTCACACCGTTTACTGATCCCCTCACACGATTTTAAGTCTATAGTAAAAAAACGCCATCGCCGTGTTCTAAATAATCCACTGCAGTTAGTGATGTTCTGAGCAACAAGGTTTATTGGAACCAGTTGACACAAGTTTAAGTTAACTCCACATTTCATTTCTTACAGTGCAACAGGGAGCTGAGATTTGGTTCTCGGCAAGCACGATCAGATTATGGATTTTCAGAATGTCAGCTTGCATTAGCCGCTTGATATTAAAACCCTCCCAGGCACACAGAGACTAGTTCAGACCGAGCGGTAGAGAACAGAAGTTTATTCATGAAGATGAATCAGTACACAAGAACAACAAGACTCCTAATTTCCCTCTGGGATTAATAAAGTATTTTTGAATTGAATGGAATTTGAATAACTACTTCAGGCTTTCAAGCCTGCAGCTAATTTTCTCCAGAAGGAAGCCGCTTCAAAAAGATCTTCCCACACTTTCTAGAAACAGACCCTCAAATTAAGCATATCCATTTCCAACAGAAGGCACTTTAAGCATGCATGTCTCCATCTCAAAAGGCCATGTTTCTGTTCCTTGTGACAGAGCTGGAGGCCAAACCTGTGAAGGGCTCTGAAGAGGAGCCGAGCATCTACGTCCGCCTGGGCTGCCTCTCCACAAAGCTCCGCAGGAGAGCCTACGCCAGAGCCGTGGCCAGGATACGGGACGGCAAGCAGCGCAGCATGGGGATCATTTCTGAGCTCAACTCCACCATGGATGTGGTGCGTGTGCTACGCTCCTGACTTGTGAAGCTAGTGCTTCGCCCAAGCACGTGAATAACCATGGATGCCGTTATCTCTAGATCCAATATGGCAAGAACATCCACAGTGCCAAACAGATGGTGACATGGAAGTCTGGTAGTCCAACTGAGCAGAACGGTCACCCAGCAGAGGTGATTATACACACAGAGCCAAATCAATTGTTGCTACTAGGAAAGAACCGTCTGGACATCCAGATGAGCTTTCCCTCCAACATTTCAGACATCTCAAACACCACTTTCTCCACTCATGGGCTTATTTTGGACCATTTAGGGAGTTATTGAATGTGTGTTCCATCTCCTAGGTGATCGAGTCTCGTACCTTAAACCTGGCCCGCTCACTCACTCAGCAGCTCCAGACCACCTGCCTGGTCCTGGTCTCTGGCCTGCAGGGACTTCCCAACCACATCCAGCAGGAGGCGCTGTCCTTCAGCCACTCAGCAGCACAGGTGTACTTCAGTTTCAGCAAAGCGAAGGTGCTGGGAGACCTGCCTGACAGCGTGCTATCCAGCAGCAGAGTCCAGCTGGGAAGGATGAAGGACTCCCTGGACCATGTCATGGATTACCTGGTCAACAACACGCCGCTCAACTGGCTGGTGGGTCCTTTTTACCCTCGGATGGTTTCATCTGCAGGCAGCAGCTCTCATCCATCATCAAGCCCCGCCTCCACTCAGATCCCCAGGGAAGAACCCATGGAGGTGGAGACTGAGTTGCTCTGTTTACCGTCCTCAACAAATTTAGATTCAGAGCTTCACTAAATGCTCCACAGTACTGAAGTGCTGGGTTCTTCTGTTCTCCGAGTTTGTGTTGATGTGATTTTTAAAATCACAATGTACCGTTTGATAACTTCTGTTTCTCTATAAAGTCGATTGAAATCATGAATTCCTGCTTGCTGTGCATTTACATTTCCACCCAACATGGCTCTCTAGGAAGTGCTTTAGATTCGTTAGTTTAGAAGGGGTTCTCTTTCCTGCAATTGTTAAAATTACAAAAACATTTCTACATATTTAATTTGAGCTTTATTTGATATTACATGACAAAAAATAAAATCATTAATAAATTCAACGATGGCAGCGACTCTGTCGTGACAAACACTCCATCAGTTTCTGGAAATCCAAAATCAAAGTTAAAATAATCACACAAGCCAACGGGTTTCCCATCAGAGAACGCTGAGGGACGAGTGGGTCAGTTACCGAGAGCTTCTGAATCTGACACCAGGCAACATCATCCAGTAGGTCCAGGTTGATGTCATCCTTGGAGTCTTCCGAAAAGCTGAGCATCTGGAAAAGAAAGCGGACTCCTTCTAGAAACTTCCTCCATTAGAAATGCAGACTCACCAGCACTCATGCTGTGTTGAGGGGCCCCGGGGTGGAAACCTAAGCTCATTTCCAGAACGTAAACATGACGTACCTGCCCCTGAGCCGTCGTCACGGTGACGTGTGCAGCAGATCCTGCCATGGAACAGGGCAGCTCCCCAGCAGACACAACGGACCTGTAACAAGTCTCACTTTAGTCGGGCCGGCACCACCTACAGGACACCCGTCAGCAGACTCGCCTTAGTTTAGGTTTTCTCAGGTTCATCTGCTCCTGAGTTTTACGGTTTGTCAGTCGGCTCCGAGTCCTCTTGATGGTCGTTGAGGAAGATCTGCAGAGTAATTAAACACAAGTCAAGACCTTCCATCATCCTCCAGCTCACAGGATTATTCTATTGTGTTACGTCAGAGTTCCTGTGCTGCTGCTGCCAGCCAACACGCTGTCCCCTTTGGCCCCTCGTCCTCCCTGAAAGTAAAGGAAACCCATTTCACATCAAACCCAGCCTTTGCTAAACAAGAGTCAGCGCTAGAGCCGACATGTTTGTGCACACATCACCTTGGGAGTTTTGGAAGCGGGTCTCTGGGCTACAGGCGGTGTAGAATCAGACGATTTCACTTCACATGAAAAAATAAGAATTTTAAAAATTCTGTGAAACAGTTTGCACTATTTACAGCCTCCGATTCCTTCAGATTTTGCTTTTATAACCTGAATATTTAAACAATTTCAATATCAATACAAAGATGCCCTGAACAACAAAATGCGGTTTTGCAATATTAAGAGCTATTGAAACCAACTTGGTGCTGGGAATTAGAATCAAGACATCACTCCAACAGAACTAGTTAGCTTGATAAAACGTCCTAAATATGAAGAAGTATAGTTAGCTACAACCCACTGAAACCAGCCAGTCATTAAGATGGAATTACTGGTTCTTTCAAACTGCACAACTGGACAAAACCATTAGAAGCAATGACAATTGTTAGTATTCGCTGCTACAGAAATCAAGTCAACGATGCACTCCCATCATACTCTGTACAAGAAGCTAATACATCATCTTTAAAACACTAAAGTACCTCCATCTGCTCATGTCTCAAAGAAAGTCCTGGTCTAACGCGTCTTAGGTTGATGCATACGCCGTTTCAAAACAAACCTCAAGCCATCGCCATCCTTGTCCTTTTTTTCTGTCACAGCTCTGATGCTAAGCCTGCATAAGATTTCTCTAGTGCTGTTATTGGTCAGGCCTAAACTCAGCATAGGCTAAGCTAGCCTGCTGAGGCTAGACCATCCTGCAGAGGAAAATCTTTGTACTGCTACGGTTTGTCGAGGTTTTTGGGCTACATTCATAAAAATAGTAAATGTAGCCTAAGAGTGCAGCCCTCTGAAACATGCAACACAGACGCAGACAGACAGACAGAGCTAGATAAACATCCGCACACAATATAAAAACACAAGATGCATTTAAAAAAAAAAGTACTTACACATAAAACATTTACTTATTTCTGATTATAATCAGCCATTCTTTGGCGAATTGTCTTGTACCTCCATCTTCTGCATTAGCTTCCAATAGAATAGACAGTGAAACCATAGACATGAATATGTAGAAGCCCCATTGGGCGCAGGAAAGCTCAACAGTGTAGCCGCCATGTTGCACGGGTTCCTCAATCTCTAAACCCAACTAGGGTCAATGCAGGGTGAGCAACTGCCCGTTTTGTACAGCCTACAGTAGCAACAAGCGACGCATTATTGAAAACAGATCACGTGGGATTACTGCCGACTTTCCCAGCTTACCTGATGGGACTATGCGGTTTAATTTATTTAATCTTCGTAAATTACCTTTCATGCCAATTCCTATGTCTAGTTTCGTGAAAAAGCCTAACGTGTCTTTTTTAGCTGGGTCGACACCTTTCTCAGTAGAAGTAGGCCCAATCCCAACACTCGCATTTCAACATTTGTGTACCTTCAATTGTGCACTCCCAACTAGGGGTGCAAGTGCGTAGGGTGTCCTGATTCTCAAGTGCAGAAGTTGATCACGTCCCTTTTGCACCCTTGATCCAAACTTTAAGTCCGCATTGATGAAAACTTGAGTGAAGGGTATTACCCACAATCCATTCCTGTGGGAGAAAAGGCTCAAGTGCCTTTTGTCAAAACATGTGTTGTACGATTAAAGTATTGGTAGTTTATTTTAGGATGATTAGTTGATGCTCTGAAACCTTTAAACAAAGCAGCAATGAATGCAAATCATTTAAAATAATTGGTTGTTTTAAAGTTAATACAAGACCAGCGTCCTGGCATGCTTTGCGGTCGAAAACGCAATAGTTCCGGTCTCAATTCGGCAAATATTTGCACACTTGTTTACCTCGCACACGAAACCTTACTGCGCACTTTCTCCAAGTGCACTTTGCTGAAGACCGCAGGGTGCACTGCGAGTATTGGGATTGCGCCACAGATGCACTTGGGGTAAATGGAGACCCATCCAAGATGGCAGCCAGCCACTAAAGCAGCTCCAATAGACAGCACCAGTCCACGGGGTGACTAGTTACATGATGTCTGTGGGTGAAACTAGGATTTGAAAATCCTGACAGATCTACATCACACCATCACTTAACATTCATGGACTCACCCATCTTGACTCATGACGGGGAAGGCTGTCGATTTATCACCCAGGAAAACGCGGGAAACGCCTTGGCTAGCAGAAGCTAACCAAGCATTAGCAACTATACAACAGTAGAACTCCAGGCAAGAGTTTATTGTCGAGATAAAACATTCACGTTGCAGAGCAATCAGATGAGACATGTCCAAATAAAAAAAATAACTCCATATCCTGCTGTATTCTCCCACTCCCCTCCAGCTGACTACATTCTCAAATAGGCACACCTCATCATTGTGATCTGCACTCGTTTGTTAACTGGCCATCACTCCATTCCCACAGGTTGTTACACTGGTATCAATTTATATACAAAACTATCAGTACAACCCTAACACTTCCAACAACCAGCACAATTTACGTTCCAGTAACCTAATATCTATGATTATTCCCAAAGCTCGCACATCCTTTGGTCGCTCCTCATTCCAGTTTGCTGCTCCCAACTGGAATGAGCTGTGAAAAATCACTGAAGCTCACTTCCTACACTCCAATACCTACCTTCAATAATTCATTGCAATCAAGTTTCTGATCAACGTACATCTGATTATATATATATATATATATATATATATATATATATATATATATATATATATATATATATATATATATATATATATATATATAAATCTTTCCTTATTTTTATCTTAGTAGTTGGTCTTTGGTGTAGAGCTAACTATGTGTCTGTTGCTGCTACCACTTAGCTAGATCGTTGTTGCAAATGAGAATGAGTTCTCAAATTGACTCATCTGGATAAATAAAGGTTAAATAATGATTGCATTGATGCCTTCAGTGTGAAATAGGCTTTCCAAGGCATTCATTCCTGCTAGAAACAAGTGCAAATGTATAAAAATAGGAGCAACCTCTTAAAAACAGAGACCCACAAGATAGAACAAAAATGTAGGTTTGGTTAAGATTTTAAACTCTGCAGGGAGATAGACTCCTAAAGTTAGATTTGGTTTCATAAGGATCTTTGAGACAGTCTGAGCTTTGACCTTAAACGGGCCTTTCCGACTGTAAAAGAGGAACAATGCCCGTTATAAATTGTTAAGTAGTAGGTTTTACAAAGAACAAAGTTGGCTAGAACAGACAATTAATGGTAGTTCTTTAACTACATGATGTATTTAATCAGGCATCTTTGCTTGATACTTAAATATTTCACTATGATGTACAAACCAAAACATCTGTAACTAAACAGCCACCATCTCACTGCACTGAGGATTTTTCATGCATGAATCAGTGAAGTTTGAACTCACATCTCTTGCTGGTTATCAGTCTGAAAGGTTGGTCCATTTCACGGGACTCGTTCTGCAGAAGTTCACAATTATCTCATTTATTAAAGAATGGGCCTTTAATTCCAACAGACTCACCCTGATGGCTATCGAGACTTCACTGGCTGATGCTTCCTCCTCTAAAGCAGAAAAGCAGAGTCAGATTAATAAGGAAACTGGTCTGATTTGGACCCTTTGAGAGGCTCACCGCAGATCAGATCTCCCATGAGGGTGTTCTGAAGAGAAGGAGGCATCTTCATCAGCTCCACTTTGAAGATTTTGTCCACGGTGGCCAGCATGCTCTCCAGTTTAGCCTCTAAATATCTCATCCGTTCTTGTGCTGGAGACAAGAGTTGAACCAAGCTGAAGAGCCCGTTATTGGGCATGGGAGCTTTAAATTAACCCTACCGTCTTTTTCAAACTGCTGGATGAAGAGCGCCATCCTACGCCGGCGTCTCTCCTGGCTCTGCTGCTCTTTGTCCTGCTGATTTGTCGCGGTCTTCTCCCGTCTCGCTGACATTTTGTCGTTCTACCTAGTTTTGAGTTGGGAAAATATTAGTAGCAGCAGCCCAGTTAACCCCATTTTAAATCCACACCTGCTTACAAGCGCACACCTGGACTGGAGCTAGTTTAATTACAGTATCCATCCGCTGAGCGTGAGGTGATGCAGCGGTCCATCCAGCGGAAGGATATACCGCACCTGTGGGGCCATGAGTGAAAATATTTCCCCACTTAAGTCACTTATAATTATAATTAGTCAAAGCCTACTGTGTGAGTCTGAGTGCAACTGAAGTACAATTTCTGTTATTATTTATATTTAATTTTGTCCGAGTTTATGTTTCAGCCTGAGTTTTCGTGTGTGTGTGTGTGTGTCATATTCATCTGCCTAAAACATTTCTATCCCTAGTGGCTAAATGTGGAATTAAATTAGATATGAGAACAAATGTACACATTTGACTGAAACAGCTACAGGTATTTCAGCTCTGTCTACATAAACCAACAGTGAGTTTGGGTGAATCAGAATGAGAGAAAGAAGGGGATCCAGACCCTTCTAGAATACTGGCTAGTGTTTTGTTTTCGGTATTCATGAATGCTGATTGGCCAAAAATCCTCCAGTTCTCCCTAGCAATCAAATAGGATTGGGTGTTAAGCTGCAGCTCTTGGGCCTAGTTTCTAGTGTTGCAGGAGTGAAACTAGTGAATCTGTTAGGGGAAATTAATTGTTTTGAGACAGCTGGTGAAAATAAGTAAACAATTCAGATTGCATGTAAACAAGAGCATCAACGTCTGTCCTTTGTTAATATACATATGTAGCGTTATGTAGTTTTTAGATTTTTTTCGCCCTTCAAGTCAGGTAGAGCGGCACACTAGCACCCCCTATGGACGAGCTGCACTGCACAGGACATAATTAAGGTGATTTCTTTATTGATTTTGTACATTAAAATCTATATTAAATTAATTAGTTGTTTTAATTCTGGACAACACAAACAAAATTATGCACACATTTGTTTTCAATCAGTTCACAAACTCGTTTATTGCAGCACAGTTCAGGACAGACATTCATTTCCTTTCCACAGGATGGTAATCTATTACTTAAAAAAAAAAAAGTTTTTTTCTGTACAGCCAAGGAAATTAAATGTACAAAGTCAGTACAGGATGAGTCCAGTAAGACAGATTTAAAGGGAACAGGATGCTATTAGTTATAAAAATCCATTGCCACCAAACCATCTGCAATCCAAATGTCAATAATACAAAAATAAATAGCAGAATTATTTTTTAAATTTTTGGACACAACTGTTTAATGTTATTTTAATGAATAATCTTATTCTCAGATCTTAATCTAAGCAGTGCAAATGGAATATTTTACATGATCTAATCTGTACAAGTGAACTCTCCCAGAATGTATAAACAAAATCCACAATCCTTTTCCCAATAGCTCATCACAGCACTATTCCGATTTACTGTCTGCTTCAGCATTTAGTGGAATGTCACATCTCCTCTCGCAGCATCAGCACTAAGCTCTTCGCTCTATGTGCTTCTACCCTCGCTAACATTCAAAAACACTGGGCTAACGCTAAAACAACACCCAGTCTACGTTAAAACTCCCCTACGCTAGAGAAACAACGGCCCTGGTCTGGACCGGTCCTACGGTTTCAGCTCTACTAGAACAGGATGTTACTGTTGGGGGGAAAAAACCAGCAGTTATCAAAAGTTACGCACAACACGCCGAGCTGCTGTTCATCTCTCCCCGTGTTAGTCTGGATGTTAACAGAATCAGAAGTGTGGGGTTCCTTCATGCTCGGGCTTCGCCAGACGTCGGCAGCGTGAGTTCGTGTACTCACACAGCTTCACGATCGTTAAGACTCGGGTGAGAATCAACAAAAACAGGCACCTAAGGTTTCAGGCTTCACTCAAATGGAAACGTATGTACAAACATGTATATTTACAGAAGGAGCACAAAAACTGTCGGTTTCCTGTGCTCTGCATCTGACCTGGAGACGGTTAGTAAATCCACTCGTGGACATTCTGTTCGGTTATGGTCGTGAAACGTGGCTCAACGAGACCTAAAACATCACCGCTGCATGAGAAGAGCGAAAATACAACAGGAGAGATGCAGGGGAACCGCAGCTTCAAAGACACGAGTACCACGTTCAGCGACTGGAGGGATTTTCTACAGCGTTCTTGAGATCCGAGCGGCTCAGATGACAGGGGGTCCAAAACATTTAAGGCACCACTGGATACTGGAGGTGGGCGGGCGATCGATGCGCTGCAGAGACTTGAGCTGCTCCGGGCTCAGCTCGTCGTACGCCTGGCGGTACTCACGGTCGAAGGCCTCTGCAGATGCAGAGAGAGGGTGGGGGAGAGGTCAGAAAAATAAAGAGAATAACGCCGGTGCTGTTGATTAGTTAACTCTGACTCACTCACCCACGTCGATGTTCTCCCGTCCCAAGGCTACCAGTGACAGGAAGAGGATTTCTCTGTATATACTCCTGAGAAAGCAAACAAACGTCAAAAATGTTCTGCTGATAAACACAACAAACCAACGTCAGAGCAGACGAGGCTGACCTCTGTCGTTTGACTCTATCTGGCTGCCGTTTGATCTCTCGGATCAGCAGGTTGATGGGGCCGTAGACGTCGTTCGTCTGGATGTTACGGACGATGGTGTTCAGGAGGATTCGGATCTCCTGGTGGTCCGTTGGAGCCAAAGTCCCCTTCTTCTCCACTAGAACACAAAAAGCAGCAGTATCTAATGACTTCTGGCCACTCCATCCAGAATAATAAACATTTCGGCTACGGCATGTGAAATGTTCTAGTGCCCTCTAGTGGTGGTGCTCTCTTTCTGCAGCATGAAGCTTCCCGTCACTCACAGAAGGTTCTCCAGAGCAGGTACAGAGGTTCTCCGGGTTCCTGGTGCAGGTTGATGTTGTCCCACAGCAGCTGTACATAAACGTGTTTACTGTCTTGAGACAGGGACGCCAGGGGAAGCTGCAAAAACACATTCATGCTGAACACCAACACTGATCTGCAGATTTTATGCGACTCAGGCTGAAGGAATGAGGGAACAAAGCAGCATGCTGTTTAACCTGTACTCCATTGTTGCAGTGTTCAGAGTTCAGAATGAGACCCGGCAGGTGGGTGGGGAGGTCCAGGCGGCGGAAATACCACACCAGGTTCCAGAAGATAATGGGATGCTGGCTGAGGAACTTGTGTGTGTAGATGACCTGATCAGACAGAACAGAGGTGTTAGAAACCTGGTATCTATCGGTCTGGGACACACTGAGCAGACAGTGAGAGGTCACCTGATCCCCCTCGTTCTCCAACAGGGTCTCCAGCTCTTTGCGCAGGACCAGGGGGCTCAGGTACGGCACAGAAACAGGCTTGGGATTTGGACGCTTTTGTCCGATGCCGTCCTGAAAAAACAATAAATTCCACCAATCAAACCCAACCTAGTGCAGGTTAGAACTCTGCTCTTGGTGGGGAGCACTGACCGACATCTCCTGCAGGCTACAGGGCAGGCTGGTGGTGGAGACGCCGTGACCCGGTCTCTGGGAGTAGTCCAAGCTCTGCAGCGGACCTCCAACACTGTTGCTGCGCGTCAGTGAAGTGCCGCTGCACTTCTGCTGCTTACCTGCTGCCTGGTGCCCCAGGAGACCCAGGGGGTCGGACTGGACCGGCTCTGGGACCAGACTGAACACACAGAGGAGTTTGGATGAGGTTTCTGCAGCAGGAGTCCAGGAACATTTGACAGATGTAGCTTTTGTTGTTTTTACCTCTTCTGTGTTCCAGGTGGACCATTTGAAGCCTCCTTGGGCTCCTCCTCAGAGAAAGAGATTAGGTCTGGGGTTTTCATTTCAGCTGAGCCGCTAGTTGTAGGCTGAGGACTGGTGCTGTGTATGCTGTCTCCTGAGGCACTGGGATTCATGTACAAGCTGACAGAAGCAAAGAACAGATGCAGGTTTTACTTTTCATCGTTAAGGGAACATCTCAGTGATGTATTTTTATTGTTCTGTTTCACACATTAGCACAAAACCCAACAGGTAAACACTTGAACTAGCCTTTAGCAAATTAGATATTTTTCTTTTTATGTTATGTTTGCTCAAAACTACGGAAAACTAGATTTATCACAGTTCACAGTTAAGATCACTAACGACCTACTCATTGCTGCTGATTCTGGTTTAATCTCCATTCTCATTCTCCTCGATCTGAGTGCGGCCTTTGACACCATTTCTCATCCCATCCTCCTCAATAGACTCTCTTCCTTAGGCATCATTCACACCCCCCTCAGCTGGTTTCAATCTTACCTTACTGGCCGCACTCAGTTCATCCAGTTAAAATCCTTTACCTCAGAACCCTCCCCAGTCAAGTCAGGTGTGCCCCAGGGCTCTGTCCTGGGGCCCCTCCTCTTCATAGTATACCTCCTCCATATCGGCAAAATCTTCCGCAAATTCAATATCCAGTTTCACTGCTTTGCGGATGACACCCAGCTCTACATTTCCAGTAAGCCCAACTCAACTCTCCCACCATCCTCCCTTACATTCTGCCTCTCTGAAATCAAATCATGGTTCACCTCTAATTTCCTCAAACTCAACGGCAATAAAACTGAACTTCTTCTAGTTGGCACTAACTCCACCCTCTCAACATCTGACAGCTTTTCTTTAACTATTGACAGCGCCATAGTCTCCCCCTCCCCTCACGTCAAGAGTCTGGGTGTCATTCTTGACAGCTCACTTTCTTTTCAAGCTCACATTAATAACTTAATTCGGTCAGCATACTTCCATCTACGTTCCATAAACCGTCTCCGTCCCTCACTGACCCCTCACACTGCCGCCATTCTCGTCCACAGCCTTGTCACCTCCCGTATCGACTATTGCAATTCACTTCTTTATGGTCTCCCCAACAAACTCCTTCATAAACTGCAAATGGTCCAGAATTCAGCAGCCCGTATTATCACCAGAGCCCCTTCCTTTCACCACATCACGCCGGTTCTCCAGCAGCTTCACTGGCTCCCAGTTAAATTCAGGTCCATCTTCAAAATTCTCCTCCATACCTTCAAAGCTATCCACAACCTCTCTCCTCCATATATCTCAGACCTTATAAGTATTCACACACCCCATCCCGTTCTCTCAGATCTTCTTCTTCCATCCATCTTGCGGTTCCTTCTGCCCGTCTCGCTACCATGGGGAGCAGAGCTTTCAGCCGCTCTGCTCCCCGTCTCTGGAACTCACTTCCCCCAGACATCAGGAACATCGACAGTTTTACCCTTTTCCAATCAAAACTCAAAACACACATGTTTAAATCTGCCTACAACCTCTGATTTTATTGAACTGTTTCTCTCTTTGTTTATTCTTGTTTGGGTTTTATTATTGTTTTATTGTATTTTATTACGTGTTTTCTGTAAAGTGACCTTGGGTGTCCTGAAAGGCGCTTTGAAATAAAATGTATTATTATTATTATTATAGTTCCTGCTGAAAAGCTGTTTGAATGCTAATTCAACTCCACCTACTTGCCTCACCACGGTTACTTGTCTACCGTACCTTTAATGCTAGGCTCCACCCACATTGCTTCCTATGTCTACCAGTGTTCCATCCCCTTTCTGATGCATTGTTCATAACAATAACTAGATTAAATGCATTTCTTGCATAAATGCTGTTTGAATGCTTATTGCTGAAAATGACGCTGAAGGTGTTAAAGAACTGAAGTGAAGCTGAAATTTACATATATTCCATGTATGTCTCAGCCTGGCAAGCCAGATTAAATAAATATATTATTTAGTCCACCAACGCTCCACTGACGGCTCTCGGTCATGGGACGGGTTCTACCGTTGCCTTTCAAACGATCTTCGCACGCTACTGGGCAACGAACAACATGACATACTAACCGCAACGGATGTCGGTAAACGATGCAGTCCACTGTTGAAGAAGGCGAAATTACATATTTTTTTCTAAAGGACTTAAATACATCTTTCTTCTCCTGATTCTAATAAAGCTCAAGTCCAAATAGTCCAAAAGTGATGTAAAAGCTATTTTAAATGAGCTGTCGCCATCTGGTTCAACTCTGTTGCATTATCCCGCCCACCAGATAAATAGTGGGCCCTGATTAGCCTACAAAGCGGATAGAGCGCTGTAATTGGCACAACATTGTGGACCAATCACAGCAGCTACGGTTTTGCAAGGCAATAATTTGGTCTAGTTCACTAGGGTGTTTGTCTTTACATTTTTTTTTTACATTTACTGTGTTCACCATGCCTTTAAATTTAGATTATGCCAACTTTTACATGATTTTTTAATGTATTGTGTTGGAAGGAATTTACTTGTACTCCAACGGGCTGAATAAAAATCACAGGAAAAGTTAAAACATATGAATATAAATACCAAAATTCATAGGCAGCGTGTCCTGGATGATGTGATCCTACATTTGCAGAAATTGTTGATGGGAGTGTTGGACGGCAAGAAACAGCATTGCTTAAAGCAGCAACATGGAGCTTTCCCCCTTTCAGAAATTATGTGGGATTTTTTGAGAACCACGAAAAAAATTAGTCTTACCCTGTAATGTGATATGATGTAAGCAATAGGAAAAAGTGCTGATCAGCATTAGCCAATAGCGTACGCTTATGTACAGATGTCAATCACAGATTATTTGTGGAAGTACCTAGACTGATGCAGAGTTGGCTAAATCACTAATGAACAATATTAATGATTGTAAAACTATGCGTTTTTTTCTTTTGGCCAGCTCGAGGTGCGTGTTCACAAACGAGAGGTCGTAATCGCTGAAGTAGGGAGGCGAACTTATGGCGCAATGCATTTTTATGTGTCTAGATGGTGCCATTGGATAAAATATTCCAGGTTTCCGCTTTAAACAATGAGACATAAAAGAAGAAATTCCACAAAACACTGTTCCTACTCAGACATTGAGCGCAGGTCGTGAAACTCAATGTGCAACAGAGGGAGGAAGGCTGTGCGACAGAAAGGACAGTTGGTGTTGAGATTGGAGTCATCTGCTGTCCATCCTGCCATGATCTCTTCGTCGTACACCAGAGCTTCACAGGAGTGACACTGAGAGCAACTGGACATCAGCACCTGGGGAGGAGAAGTAATGATCAACCAGTGAAGAGGAACTCCAGCAGCAGCGTGTGTGTGTGTGTGAGACCAACTTCAAGAGCACAATTCTGGTAGATGCTGGAGGAGGAAGCGTGATGTGAGGAGCTCTGCTCAGAGTCTGGGCCCCTGCCAGCTCGCCCTGGAGTTGGGTCTGCAGCCACACACAGAACAGACCCTCAGAAAGAAGTCTGGAGAGGAGCGATGTGTTGGGTAGTGTTCTTACGTGTCTGAGTCCCTCTGCCGGTGTCGCTGCTGCCGCTGCTGCTGCCCAGGCTGGTGCAGCTCTGGTTCAGACCGTTAGACACCAGACCTGGAACGGCTCTTCTCTCAGGACTCTGGTCCAGGTCCTGTGCAGGCAGCATGTGTTCATCCAGGTGGGCTGGGAACCCTCCCCCGCCCACAGCCTGCTCCTCCTGTAGAGGCGCATCAAACAGAAGAGTCCGCACCATGAAGGCGTCAAAACTACAAAACGCTTTTCGCCAAAGCTTCAGAGACGCTCACCTCGTCGTCGGAGTAGTATGCCGACGCCACGGCGCCCCACATTTTGCTGGCCACGTTTGCTGCCTGCTTCATGCCTGATTTCAGCACATTGATTTTGGGACCCGACAACAAGTTGTCCATTTTGATGCCAGAAATGGTGTTGATGACGGAGCCCAGCGACGCTCCCTGTGAGGACATGACCAGAGCCGTCAGAGACGTAGATCTGGGTCCAGGACTCGCTGTGGTGATTCCAGGAGTTTTGGTTTTTATTGCAAAAGTCTTTGAGCGAGTAACGGTGTTGGGGCTGCGTTTGGGCGTATCTCCTGGTGAGCTGGATGGAGTTTTAACAGGTGCTACAGGGAGGCTGGACCGTCGCTCCAGGGGCTTCTGGGGCGGAGGGCCGTCGCTGGAGTCTTCCTGGGACGGCTGCAGCTCCATGCTGGAGGACTTTGCACCTGTAGGACCTCGTAGACTCATGTACATTTCAATCTCCTCAGCCAGGTTACGGGACACAACTGCTGGCACGCCGCGTGGCGGCTCCTGGCTGCTCACAGAAGCCGATTCCTCACTCTCTGACACCAGGAGGGAGAGCGGGTCGGCCCCCGCCTCCACATCTGCCCTCTCTAAGGTAGCTCCTCTCAGCCCAGACTCCTCCTCTTGTGTTTCAGTTTGCTTCCTCTCACGTTTCTCCTGTCCCTGAGCTGCCTTCCCCTCTTCCTCGTCTCCTTTGCTTTCCTCCAACGCTCCCGCAACTCCTCCCTCTACAAGTTTCTTATGCGACGAACCCTTTCCATCCTCAGGCTCCTCCTCCAGGTCTTCAAAAAGAGCTTTGGACACACTGATGGCTGGTGGAGTTTTAGCTTCAGAGAGCACTGCAGCCAGGATACGAGCGTCAGCGCCCATTTGGCTGGCCATGTGGTCCACGCCTTTCTCCAGGAGCATACCAGCTCGACTCTCAACACTGAAGCTGCAGCTGCGCTCGGAGAAGGCCTTCTGCCGCTGCTGCTGCTGGGTCTGAGCCACTGTGTCTCCCGCTGCTGGAGCAGAGTCCTCATCAGTCAGAGACACGCTGTCGTTCTTACTGTGCCTCCTGAACAGCTTCACCTTCGCTGCAGGGTTCAAACCAAAACAAAGTCAGGCCCCTAAACTCTCTGGGTTGAAACAAATCCCCTCCCCCTTCCCGTTTCTTACTAGTTTCCCTGCCACCATCAAAGCTTCCTGTGGACAGTTTAACAATACTGGGGACAGGTGAGGACACTTCAACAGGACTGGGGGGCTCTGCCACTGCTAAAGCACTGTCCACCGAGCCAGCAATGTCCCCTACTGGAGATGGAAAGACACACAAAGAAAAACAAACAATCATAAAACACAAAGGTGGAGTGATTTTAAAGCAACCCTTTTGAGTTTTTAACACTTAAAGTTATTGCTTTCAAACTGGTTTCAGTCATTCTTGAGCCTGAAACATGAGTAACGTCCCTTTGGACAACACTCTAGACCTCTGCTGACCAGACACTGCTCTAAAAACTTTGGCGGTGTGGGTAAGCACAGTTGGAAGGTCTGCTTTATGGCAATAGCCGCTTACAGTGACAGTTGCACATATAAAGGCTAGCAGTTAGCTTTTCCACTTTGCCTACCATCAATAAAAAGCACAAGAAGAAGAATTTTGCTTTTTTTGTTGGCATCATGGTGGAGCCTGGAAGCAAGACAGTAATGTCTTTGGAGGTGACGCCAGAGGGAACAGTGGCTTACGCTAGTTTGAGGAGGCTATGAAATTACGGACTGATTGTGACCTGGCTTTGTTGCTACTGGACTAAGTAATAATATTTTGCTCAACAGTCTGGATCTTTTTACTTCGTGATTTATTTAGTATCAGCTGTCTCATGTTAGCGTTAGCTCGTTGTTAGCACTAGCTACAGCAGGGTTGTTAATGACAGTTGTCATTACACTTTCTACCTGCGTGTGTGTGTGTGTGAGTGAGTGAGTGAGGGTGGGGGGGTCCAAGTGTTGTTTTAAATCCCTGATAATGGCAAAAATAAGATGATTTTGTTCACCGTTATGGTCCGTTTCTTCTTTGTTCGTCTGGTCAGCAGCATCATCAGAAGGAGAAGGCTCAGCCAATTCCTGGTGTAACTCGTCCTTAGACCCATATCCTTGGTCAGACTGTCTTCCTGTAGATAAACAGGTTGTGAGACATTCAAATCTTTTTCCTCCAAACACGGGGATGATGTGAGTGAGATGAGCAGCCGTAGGGACCTGGTACCTGTGTTACAGTGCCCGTCTGATGCATCCTCATTGTGCTCCTCACCGATGACTTCACTTGAGCTGTGAGCACTTCCGTGACTCAAGTCATCAACATCTGTGGCTACCGATTCCTTCACTGAGGCATCTAAACAAGAGGAAAACCGTCGCATAAATACAACAACACAGAGCAGGAGGAGACAGATGGTCATGTAATCTAAAGCCAAACTTTTACTAATTGTCTCATGGGCAGACCACAAAAACCATCTCCCAATTGGCTGCTGAAGGGACGAGGAATATTGCAGCATCATCCACTCTTCTGTCAGTTTGAACCTTTGAACTCTGGAAGATGTTACAGGGTGCCTCTGGCAACCAACAATATAGATAAGAAGTAATTTGTTCCTAGTGCTGGAATAACCCTCAACTAATGCAAATGATGAAATCCAACCGTAGTCTCACATGAGTCCATATATGTGAATGCTTGTATTTTTGAGAGCCAAAGGAAAAATTCCACTACGGTAGACAAAGTTTTATTCTAGTCTATCTAATCTACCTGTGGTAACTATCGTGGACGGCGTTTGGATTTGAGTTTGCTTGAACTGAGCCACTCCTCGGACGACGTTACGCAGCTTAGTCCACATAAAATGGCCGCTACGGTTACGGCTGGGCCACGGGCTCTCCAAGACGGCCTGCAGAAACAAGAGGTGCGGATCGTTTCACTTACAGGTGTTTTTATCGACCAGCAGGAGAATGAAGATGCGACTGACTACCTTGTTGTAGTATCCATAGGTGATGGCGTTGGGATGAACTCCAGCTTTCTTCATCTCCACCAGGACTCGCACAGCCATGACAGGAAGACCCCACACACCACAGAGCTGCATCACCACCCTGTAACACACCTGACACACACACACACACACACACACACACACACACACACACACACACACACACACACACACACACACACACACACACACCAATATAAAAAAAAGTTTTTAAGAGCGATTCTAAAAAGATCACCAGGTGTTAGGGGCAGCAGTAGCTCAGGTGGCAGAGCGGGTTGCACCATGTTCGGAGGGTCATGGGATCGATTCTATCTCCTGCCAGGGGTATCCTGCTGTTGTGTCCTTGGGCAAGACACTTCACCCAACTTGCCTGTGCTGGTGGTGGTCAGAGGGGCCGACGGCGCCAAATGGCAGCCTCGCCTCTGTCAGACCGCCCCACGGCGGCTGTGGCTACAAAGTAGCTTACCATCACTAGCAGAGTGTGAATGTGAGTGTGTGAAAGCGTCTTTGAGTGTCCTGAAAAGCGCTATATAAGTTCTATGCATTATTATTATTATTATTATTATTATTATTATTATTAGCAAGTTACCTCATCGAGCACCTCCACCTCCTTGGTCCTCATGTTCAGCAGCATGTTGTAGGCCTGCTGCATGGCCCGGCTCTTGGACTTGGCCAGCCGGACGCTGGCAGGCAGGGCGATGAACCACAGGCTGTAGCAATGGCTGAACAGGCAGCGCGCCCACAAAGGCGGGTTGGAGTAGAACCGTTTCGCCATCTTGGACGCTAGTTTGATCTCCTGTTGAATCGCAGCGGTCAGAGTCGAGTTTTAGCAGGTCGGATGTGATTAACTGCATTTTTTGCATCATCATCATCATCATCATCGGATGAAATACCTGCTTGGTTCGTTTAGCCAGTAGAGCGGGGCTGCTGGAGAGACTCGCCCCCGCTGCACTGGTCCTTAGAGCTGGACGCAACTCTCTGGGACGGTCGAACAGATCCATCTGCAGCTTAGGGAAACCTTTATAACTGGAGAACAGAAAATAAAAGGGTCAACGAGTCACGTAGGGGTGCACGAGTGTGGCTTACAGTGGTTAATCCTACGTGTAGCGAGGAGCAGGTTCCGGTCCGTTGTCAGCTGGAGGCTCAGGAGGCATCACAAAGACCGTGTGTTCACTCTTCTGAGATTCATCCAGCTCCAGCAGCTTCGTGTCCTCAGACGAGTCCCCTTCAACCTGCAGGGAGGAAGGGAGCAGACCCAGAGATGAAGCAGGTCACTTCCTGTCTGACAGCAGAAGTTAAACAACCACATCATATGGCTGCGTGGTAAAGCCTTGAGTCACTTCCTAAAACGCCATCTCGTTCAGTACTGCCTGCAAACACCTGGCTTGATTCTGGACCTGACATGAACTGGATCTGTTGTTTTATTTTGAAGTGGCTCTCAATAAGTGAACCAAATTAAACTGAAAATAAAACATTTCTCCAGGCATTCTGTAGAGCTCTTGGTGTTCTCCTTTGAACTTTGGCCGTAGAACTGGATCGTTTTCACACAACTGTGTTCGGTAAACTACGTTAGCTACTCTCGAGTTGCTCGCAGTTTCCTAAACAAAACAAAACGGACTCTTCTCTAAACAGTTGTGTACAGCGACCGATTCTAGGGAAGGGATTACATCACAATACAGGGGACGACTATACGATCTATTACAATACTCAAAGCCCGACAATATTTGCAATTTATTTAGACAACTCAGGTCGGACGCTTCCAAGACACATCCGGAGTTACGGTGAGATCTCACTGTTCCATCAGAATAACGGCGGTAAAACTGCTGCCACCTAGTAGTCGGAGTTTGAATTGCACCTCACAAAAGATAAACAGGAAATGTTTGCATGTCAAATAAAAACAAATCTACTCACTGCTCTTAAATATTGATTCAGTGCCACAAGAGAAAATATCCTGAGATTTCAGTGCATCGATATGTTCTTACTTCCCTAAATGATACTGAGCGGAAAGGCAGCCAATGTCCAATGAAATCTCTGCTAAATCTTCAAAAAAACGTTAAGAAAACCTTCAAAATGATGTAATAAAGTCCGACTTCTTGTTACTAAACTATAAAAACAATAAGAAAATTTTCTACACCATCTGTAAATGTAACACATGTTTGGTTATAAGTAGGATTAAAGAAAGCCGACAATGTCTGCGCACCTGTGCTGTGTATGTGTATTAAAGGGAAAATGTTATTTGTCTTGTTTAATGATGCACAAACTGCAAATTAAAAACATGCACAGACAAGCTGGAAGAAAACGTGATTAAAGTTTACCTTGGTGCCCTTGTCGGTGATTTTATCAGAGGGAAAAAGCTGCAAGAAGAGGAAAGAAAGCAAAGGCAACAGAATGAATCAGAGGAAATTTGGCCTTCCTTAGTCATCCCAGCATTCCGCTGTTATTCCACCAATAAAGCAGCGGAAAAACAAAAGGGCTTGTTCCTGGAAGGAAGCGACCTTGAGTGGGAGAGGAAAAACAAAACACCAACAAAATCACCTTCTCCACACAGTCGTCAAAAAACGCCAAACCGGTGTCCTTGTCGCTGACGAAGGTGCACTCCTCAATAAAGCGGATGAAGATCTGGGTCTTGGTGAGCTGGGAGTAGAACTTCTGATGGGCTCTGTCCCTGCTCTTCAGGAAACCTTCAGTAGGGTCAGATTAAGAGTTGATCAGATACGCAGGATTCTGGATCAATCAGAGCAGGCTAAATGAAAGCATTTCCCAGCATTAATAAAGTTTTATTATAGCTGATGGGACGGGCGTCTCTGATTGATCCAACGTTCAGGGCTGTGTGAGTGTGTGTGTGTGTGCGCGCGTTCACCTTGCAGGTCATAAAGGGAGTCCGCAGCCGTGGCCTTCTCGGATGGCGCCTGGGTGATGGGTTTGAGGTAGCACCGGTAGCCCTTCAGGATGGAGGCCATGAAACGAAGGAAGGCTTCCTGGATCTCCATCTCCAGGGCCATCTTCTTCTTGTGCCACGTGAAGTCAGCATCGATGGGGGTCAGGTCTAGGGCAGAATCCTCGTGTGGAGCCTGACGTACCGACACTGAAACACCAACCAGAGGTAGGGCGAGTTAGGAACAGTTATGGGTATCAGACTAAAGCCGGGCGTACACTGTGCGACTTTTTCACTTTTTTGAGCCGATTTTCCACTCGTGCGAGAATCCACGAGATCGGGGCGAGTGTTGTGCTGAGCGTCGTGTAGTGTACAGGGGGTTACGAGATGCGATTAACACCACGTGACCAACTACCGACAGAGCCGTGTCCAGGACTTTTAAAATGGGGTGGCACTTGTTTATGCATGGGTGGCACCAATGGTTATGCTTATTTATTTATTTACACAAATCGTTTATTTATTTATTTACTTTCTAGTGAATTTTGGAGTTTCACATTGCACAATCACCATTTTTTTCTATTCATGTTCTAGCTTTGTGGTGGTTGGCAAGTCACTTCTTGTTGCATTATTGCCACCAACTGGAGTTAAGTGGGACTCTAAATACTATTTATGTTAATATGAAAAAATAATAAATAATATTAATACTACAGAAATGTTCTGTAGGCCTGGGCTAGAAGACAAGGTGAAAGGTTCATGCTACCACACACTATTTTTGGAGTTTACAACTCAAGCCTTTTGTCGACGATGTAAAGTCAGTTTAAACTGGAACTGAGTAGGGTGGCTGCATGGTGGCGCAGTGGTTAGCACTGTTGCCTCGCAACACGAAGGTCGCATGTTCGAAACTCGGCTGTGGCCTTTCTGCGTGGAGTTGCGTGTTCTCCCCATGCATGCGTGGGTTTTCTCCGGGTACTCCGGTTTCCCCCACAGATCACAACATGCCTTATAGGTAAAAAAAAAAATTGTAAGTCGCTTTGGGTAAAAGCGTCTGCTAAGCACATAAACATAAACATAAACACCTGGGGTGGCCAATCAGGTTCTAAGGGTGGCATGTGCTACCCCAGGCCACTCCCTGGACACGCCCCTGGCTACAGATCAGAAATCGTGAGCTCGCACGGACTTCTGGGGTGTTTGATATTTTGCTCGTTCCTCGTGAGGGTTGAAGCGGCGCTGCGAGCAGCTGCGACCCAAAAAGTGCTCACGGCGCATGCGCAATCATGCATCAACACCGCTCACCCGCTATTTCCCCAATTACACACGTTGTTCGTTTTTATTCTACACGTCTTTTACACACAATGACAAGGATTGTCAAGAAAGCGTGTTTGTCGTGTTCATGTCAAATTAAACCAATCACAAAACACAGATTTACTTTCTTTATTTCGTTTTCCTCATCCAACCCCCATAAATCCCTGTGTGTCCTCCTGCAGCGCTCCCGAAGGACAACAGGCAAGACAAGACTAAAAAGTCTGACGTGTTGTGTAAAAACGGCTATTTCTAGCATATTTTTTAGGTCCGACGTGTTGCTACCAGACGTACAGTGTGAGCGCCTGGCTCGTGAGATCTGCTCTGCGAGGAAGTCGTACAGTTTGAGCTGAAGCTGAGTGCTACGAGTGAAAAAGTCGTACAGTGTCCGCCCAGCTCAACTAAATATACATGATTCTCTTCTATGCAGGGTATCTGCAGGTTTAAAGGAGCCAAATTTAAGACTTTTTAAGACCTTTTTTAAGGCCACTTTGACCAAATTTAAGCTATTTTTAAAATTAAATTTAAGCTATAATTTCCAGCTATTGCCTGGACCCGGTGCTAACCACGTTGCGAAATTGGGATTAACCATCCAGTTACCATTAAACTTCCCCATGGCGCAAGCTCCCACTAGCTTAACCAGCTAATGTGCTCATCTAAAAATAGCCCCCTTTCACAACCAACTAATGTTTACGGTTCCACTTACGCCAACCATCATACACAAAAAATGCTGAACACTGACTAGAAATTCACGAAAATTTTATAGAAATAAAATAATCTTGTTTATTGGGTCTTTGGTAATTCAAGACCTTTGGAAACTGTATTTAAGGATTATTTGTCATTTTTAAGGATTTTTAAGGCCTTAAATTTGGAAAAGCAAATTTAAGACTTTTTAAGGACCCGCGGATACCCTGTTCTATGTTTTACTAGGTTTAGTGGTGTTTGCTCAATTTTGACTGCCTTTTATAAACTCTTAATTCAATTTAGTAAATCTCCAACAAAAGCTCTGTCCTCTAAATGCCCGTTTTATCCAAGTTGGGCTTATTCAGCTGTTGCTTCGTCTGTAAATATGGAGTGTTGTTGGTACCAGTGGCCAGCTGGTGCTGCAAGTTGCTCAGTGTGTGGATCAGAGCCTTGCAGGGTTTCTTTGGGAGGTTCTTCCAGTTACTGTGTCTCTTCTCATCAGACCTGTGACACACAACACCACCAGATTTATCATGTGGAGGAAACCGGAGAGCTACACAAACAGAGGCTCAGGGTTCGACTCTTACAGGTAGATAGTGTTGGTATCCAGATCCACACAGACGACATCTGGCGGAGGGTCGTACAGGTCAAAGTAACGAGAGTCGACGCCCACGATGAATGGACATGGGGCATTGAGGACATCTGCTAAGGAGAGGGGACACAGGGGGATGTAGGGACACTGCCACTGGAAGGGGAAGATCATCTGGAGGAAGGACAAAACATGGAGTCCATATTAAAACAACCAAGAGGGTTATAAAGTTATGGATTTACAGGAATGAGGGGATTTTTGAGACCTGTCTGGTCAAAGTGATGCCACCTTGTTTTACCTCTGAACTACAAGAGAGGAGGAAGCATCAGGGACGAAAGGCTTAAAGATGAACAAACCCAGAAGAGCGGCAGCACTACCATGACACCATGTTCACAACAGAGCTTGAAAATTTAATCTATTTGAAACAGAGGTGTGCATTTGATCACATAAAAGGAATGATCATTTAAAACAACCCTGCAAGAGAAGAGCTGGTCCTTTTCTTTCACTGGAATCCACTTATACAATAAAACAGGTGATTTGAAGGACCAAACTTTCTCGTTTATGCAAACAAAAATAAAAAAAAAAACAAAGAAAACAACATTCAGAACAATGCAACTCCAGGGGCATGTAAAAGACACCATAAATGTGGAAAGTCTTGTCCACTTTTTACCCCGTTTGTAAAACACTGGTGTGTGTGTGCTGCACAGATCCAAGGGTTCAGTTTAAACCTTTCCCTACTCAAACAAACAAAGATAAAAAAGGGGCACACAACAATACAAGAGCAAAATATCGCTGCGTCAACCTAATGAAGAAAGATAAAATAAACACTATTTTGCTGAACAATCACACACAATTATAGTACAGTCCCCTCGCAATTAATAACATAACTGCAATCGTCAACTTGCAATCAATTGCGTACATTCCATCGTTTATATGCGACTGATGGTGATCCAGCCATCCGTTTTTATTAGTAATGGGGTCGGGTTCGGTCCTGCACAGTTTGGTCACTTTTGATCCAAATCATCAAAGCAGGGCTCTTCAGGCAAGGACACCGAAGAGGGGACGATGCGCTCGTCACTACGATGCACTCTTGGCCCAAGCACAGACGCTCCTGTGTACACAAACACGGCTTTGCTTGCTCACAGAGCAGAAATGCCTTGCCATGTACTTTTTCACTCACAAGTTCATAACTCCCTCTCTCGTGTCACACGGATGCACTTGGTGTTTAGTTTGAGTGACCAGAATGCGTGTTCATGTGTTTTCTGGTTAACTGCCTTCAGATCCAACTTTAAAAATAAAAAAGTCATAAAAATATATAAAAATAATACAAAAAAAAAACTAAATTAAAATGCATTGCCTCTACCTTTCATGCATATTAAGGCAATTCTGTGTGAAATCCCATGCCTGTCTTGACCCCCTACCTCGTGCAAACACACCAGTTACACGTGCACTCAGTAAGATGGTAATAAAGGCGTGGTAAAATATTAGATGGCGTTGATAAATGTGTTTAACGTGTTGACATTTTTTCTGCCTTCTTAGTAATCCAACTGTCAAACTTACCCACAAGCTTGTTTTTTGCTGAGCCACTCATTACGTCAACACTAATGAATCATTTATTAGGAAACAGCCACTAAAGAGAGAGTCTCCATGGTTGTGGCTTCATCTGCCTATTAACAGCTGGTTTACTGCCCCCGTGGGAGCCGTTAGAAAGGTCCTAAGTGACTTTCTACTCAAGGAAAACGTGCATCTGCAGCACCAAGTTATAGATAATTTGCTTAACTAATTATAAAAAGAGATAGAATAGGACGTTTGAATTGTTCTGTACTCACAGCCACCACGGCCTCGGCCACTCCAGTGAGCACGGCGGGCCGGAGCGAGTGCAGCAGGATCTTGCTCTCCAGCAGAACAAAGTGCAGCAGTGTGGCACAGTTCTCTGAGCCCAGATTCATCAGCAGAGTGCCGTAGTCGGCCCCACTGACATGGAGGGAGAGAACAGAGGGGTGGATTCAGCCAGAGACAGGAAATTAGAAACAGAAAGGATGAAAGAGGAAAAATGAAGGATGGAAGGAGTGAGGATAATTGCTTTCTAAGATATTTTTATTGAGATTTTTCTGGAAAACCTTCCTAAAACTAAATAGTAGCTGGTTAGCTAAAACAAAAGCCTGTCGGTCTCGATCATCTTAAGCTTTAGAGGTTATAAAATCAAGCTGTCAGAGGTACAAAAGGGCAGATAGCCGACTTCAGCTGTGGAAAAATGGTCTAAATCTCTGACGCTTTCAATGAACAAGAAACGACTGAAGAAATGAGTAAAAGAGCAAAGTTGTACAGGCTGAAGTACCTGAGGGGTAGAGGAGTACACACGGGCTGGGAGAGGATCAAAGTGTCGTGTACCGAGAGCTGCAGAAACAGTTTTATACGTTACAGTCAGAAAGTTAATAAAACGTCTCAACAAAATGTTACAGTAGACATATGAAACCGAGACAATTACACTAGAATGAAGTTGCTGAACATCCTAAAAATCTCCACGATGGAACGAATGAGCAAAATACACAAAAACTTCATTCTGTGTCATTTTCCAACAGACAGTTTCTTTTCATGTTTCCCCTTTGGAAGAAATCAGACATTCAGGAGAGACCGAGGACAGAAATGGAAGGAATAAAAGACCAATCAAGCTGGTTTTCTGACACAAATGATGACTGAGGAGGAGTGCTGCAAGCTGAAGATAGAGGAGCAGTCTGCTGTGGAGGGAGGGAGAGCTGAAAGTCTGTGATGGGGGGTCAAAGAGGTGAATGGGGGAGTAGGTGTCTGGTGAAAGCTAGACGACGAGCTTTTTAGGAGCTCTGAAAGAAGATCTCCTCATGTTGACAGATGGTGAAGCCCATTGACTATACGACGGCTATTAGCTGCGCACTAAGCTTTGTGGACATTACGAGAAGCTTGGACACCCAGTGGAAAGCCGGGGCTAGCGCTCGTCGTGAAGGACTCTCCGCTGCTCCCACAGTAAAGGTACTGAATGTGTAAATGCTTGATTTCAAATAAAACAATGCAGGCAAACGGCTCACCTGGACGAGAATTCTGGGTCTCTGGGGGGAAGGAAATGAAACGTTGTGCATGAAGTGTGAGATGTGCCTGTTGGGACAAACATCTTAGTACACGTTACCATGGCAACAAAGAGTGATTCCTAAAGAATGTTCCTACTTTTCGATGGGCAGCGGGTGTGGGCCCGAGACAGAGAGCTTGTAGATGAACATCAGGAACTTGCGGAAGGACTCGAAGAAAGGCCAGCGGGACAGCAGGCAGATGCACTTGTTTGTGTTCACGGACCGGTTGGGGATCACCTTCTTCTCCACAGCAGTGAGAAGACCTAGCTGGATCTTCTGCTTCTCACTCAGAAGATTGATGGAATACGACTCGTAGAACTGGATGGCTGATCCATACACCTGGAGACCACAGGTGGACGCGTCATTCACATAAACTAGGAACATTCTGGACACCTCGTTGGCTTCAGGACCTCACCTTTTCACCAGAACTGATAGTTAAAACAAACGTGGAGAAGACGGGTAGAGGGTCACGCGTGTTTGGTGCCCAGCACTCGATCTTGGCACCCATGGGCAAACAGAAAAGAGGAACAGACTCCGATAGGGGAAAAGACTCATAGTCTTCTTCAGGGTAGCGAAAGATTAGACCTGCATAGCAAAAACAAGAGATAGCGCAGTGATTATTGTGATGCAACAGCGTCCACGTGGAACAAGCTCTTTTCCTACACCTAATGTAAACTTTCAGTTTAAGGGATTCGCTGAAGCTTTTGGCTTCACGATGGCCGAGATCCCTTCATGACCAGACAGAAACAGTCCTGTGCTGGCACGCACACACGCACATGCACGTGCACGCACACGCACACACACACACACACACACACACACACACACACACACACACACACACACACACACACACACACACACAGATTATGGGTGTGGAAGGAAGTGCAGTTGTCTGAAATGAATAAACAGGCTCCTTCACAGGAAAACAGCCGGCCCAAACAGATAAATGTGCTCCGCATGGGTGTGTTTGTATACAACACTCATTGTGAGCCAGTCGCACAATAAAATGTTTCAAAAGACGAGCTGCTTGGGGAACGGTCAGTCAATGAAAATGTTACTGCGGTGAGAAAACTCCAGGACCTCATTCATCAAACGTTTGTAGAAATATTCATTAATTCCTTTTTCATGAACAAAATTTTGTATATTTGTGCCGACTGTCAAAATCCTGATTTATGAAACATGTGGTGGCCTCTCGTACGCACGTTCCTCCGCACTCGTCTGATGATAAATCCCACCTGTGCGTGCCCAGGTGCTTGTGACTGTTTTCAGTCATTTACATACAGAAACGCCCTTAATTAATCATATTTGGTCACGCTACGTCCTCAGCAAGTGGAAAAAAGAAGATTGAGACACTGGCTGTCGAAGTGCAAAGTAACCAAACAAGTTGCAGAGGTTAGAAACGCGGTCGGGACAGAGGAGAGGTCTCCGTCAGGAATACATCAAAACTTTAACATGATAAATCGTAGAGTAACGGGTTCTCATTTACATTCTACATTTAAGGAGTCGTTCTGGATGGTGTTTGTTTTATTTGGAAATGTCTGAGTGCAGCCTCTGAGCTGTCATTCAGTCTGGTTACCTTGGCAACGTGTGTGTGACAAGGGAGCAGAGGAGGTTCTGGAGCGTTCTCATAGTTGTAAAATAGAATATGGACTGGAATCGGATGTGTGCGGTTTATATGTCGCTCCACGTGGATCCCAAATTACAGCACAGCTCTAGAAGGATCTCCTGTCAGGGCACTCACGGAAACTCGTTTACTCCAGAGAAAAGCTCTGGCTAATCCTTAATAACAGTTTCTCAATGACTTTAAAACATCACCACCACCATAAAACTTTTTCTGATGCTCCAAATACAGAAAAACATCCCTTACCAGGGGTTTTTGAATAAATGAAAAAATCAGAATATAAGTTTAAATGTTAAATAATAGTTAACATCACTTACATGCAACAGCAAATTATCTCATTGCTACTGAACATTTTCTCCACTTATGTGGTTATGATAGAAGGCTGTTGCTGCAATTGGGAAGTGAACTGTGCTGGGCCAAACTAGGAGAAAATTAAGATTTTCTGAGGGAAAGAGAAAAACAATTGTCTACTTTTCAGAAGAGGAACTGGCAAAAAAAAAAACTACATGGAAAATATGTGAAAATGTTTGTTTTTAACCCCAAATTGAACAAGTTTACCTTGATCTTAAAAAGCAGCTCAGATGATGAAACTATGATTCTGATAACAAGCTAACAAATTGAACTAGCTCCTCTTAAGATAACCGGCTAGCAGAGCTTCTGACTGACAGTTTATGTGCAGCAGCAAATCAACTATCCTGATTAATAAGGTTATAAAAGCTCATAAATGAATAATCACTTTGATGTGTGGGGGAACTTTTCCAGGCCCTCTTTAGCAGGGTGGGACTGGGAGGAGAGTGCTGTAGCCTTTTAACTGGAAGCTAACCGGAGCCTGGGGCTAACATCACCACCCGGTGGAACACTAGCGACATGATGGTGGGTTGGTTCACCGGCACGTGTCGGAGTGAGCCCGGTAAAAATGATTAACGACACCGAGCGGACTCACGTTCACATTTGAAAGCAGCGCTGAATCCAGAAACCTCAGCACAAAGTGCGTTTGTTGCTCTGAACCAGCATGACGAACAAGGGAACGGCACCGCTAACTCAGTTCGGGCGTTGCTTTCCATCCTAAGGGTCTATGAAAGGGGTGGGCGTATTACGTGAACAGACCCATCTGATTGGCCGCATATCAGAAGGGCTACATTTGATTGGTCAAATAATACTTCCGCGTAAAAAACAGAGCTGGTTTACAAAAAGTTAATGTATGACACGGATGGAAATGTTGAACCAAACATTCATCGCCGTTTTTGACGTGCTTTGCGATGGACCTATCGCACGTCCTGTTATCCCGATGACGATAATTTTTCGATATATTGTGCAGCCCTAATATATAGATGTGTGTGTGTGTGTACATATATATATATATATATATATATATATATATATAAATATATATGTGTGTGTGTGTGTTTATGTATATATACATATATATATATATATATATATATATATACACACATCTATATATATATAGATGTATGTATATATATATATGTGTATATATATATATATATATATATATATATATATATATATGTGTATATATATATATATATATATATATATATATATATACTGTATATATATATACACACACATATATATATATATATATATACTGTATATATATATACACACACACATATATATATATATATATACTGTATATATATATATATATATATATATATATATATATATATACATACACACATCTATATATATAGAGAGATGTATATAGTCTAGCAAGTTATCCTATATACATCTATATATAGATATACATTTATTTATAGATCTATATATATATAAAATTATACAGTCTGACCATGACCCATACATAGACAGAGCTCAGGCTTAGGGCGAAATCTACAACAGTCTGTCTTTCTAACTGTATCTGCACGTAATGGAGCAGTGCCAAGACCAATCAGAACGACGAACAATGTGACGCATTTATCACTAAACTGGCCTAAACATAGACAAGCCAATGGTAGACCTGCTGAGGTTACAAAGAAAAGTGGCTAGACCCACATGCAGAGTAAAATCTTTTGCTGCTGCCATGGTTGGTCTAGACTTCTAGGCTACCAAACTACATTAATTATGTCCTGGGTTTCTAACCATTTTGTTACCAGATCCTTCCTAAAGTCACAGTTACGCCGGGGACACACTGGCCGCGGAAGCGCCGCGAAAATGGGACCGCCTTCATTCGGCGCCCTTGTTAAGCTATTCTATAGACCACATGGGCCGCCGAAGCGCCGCGAAGCGCCGAAGCGCCGGCGCTCCAGCCCGCGCCGTGCAGCGATCATTTCGGCGTTGGCTCTATTTTTTTCGCGTGCCGCGGGTGAATCGCGTCAATTCTGGCAGGAAGTCAAACGTAGACATAAGAGGCAGGCCGGTAAAGTTAACAAAATAACGCATTTCAAAATAAAATTCCGCAATAGTCAAATGTGTTCGTAAACAGACACTGCAGAAAAACCACACGAACACGCACACACATATCGAACTTGTGTGCGTGTGTGACCAAGTGAAGGGGTGTGTGGTTTTGGGTGTCTTTTCACCGGAGCAAACAGGACAGAGAGGCAGAAAGTCTGAGGCAAACAGTTAGGATGGATGACTTTAAATTAATTATGGAAGTTGAAAAACACAAGGAGCTGTACGACCCCCGAAAAACATGGTTATTTACGTACCCATTTCGGAAGAAACTGCTAGGATACAGCTGCAGAATTGGAGCGGGTTCCAAGAGATTCAACTGGCAGAAACAACTCATACCATAGGTTCACACACACACAAACACACACACACACACACACGCACGCGCACGCACGCACGCGCGTACAAACACTCAAACGTAGAGGAAAAGAGCTGAGAAAAGGCAGAGAGGAAATGGAGGACACCAAGTGTCTAAAAGAAAAACTACAGCTGAGCCGAGGCGCGCCTCGACTGGGGCGCGTCTGATCTGAACTGAGGAGCGGCGAGCAGCGGCCGAATTTCGTGAGCGATTCGCTTCTCGGCGCTTCGCAGCGCTTCCGCGGCCGGTGTGTCCCCGGCGTTAGTTCTTTGACGTTCTAATTCGGAGAACTGGGAAGGTTTTTAGGCACCTGGAACGACTGACTATTTTAGGAGAAAACTGGTTGTGCACATTTTACCGTGTTTGAAAGGCTAGTAATACGAGACTCAGGAGGAACTCTTGAAACCTGTGTGGATGCTGAGAAACATTATGGAAACACCTTCACCATCAGTCTGATCTCTGTGAATTACTGATGGACATTCAGTCCCAAACTACAAATAGTCCAAGCTAGAAAATATGGAAAATAAAATAATCATGTTTTAGGGAATCAGAGAATAAAAGCTCAAACTTTCACTCACCTGCTTTGTAACTTATAGAGTTGGATGCTGATACAGACTTCTTGTAGCATAGGAACACGCTGGAGCCCCACTGAAATCACAGTGTCTCACTCTTATTACGCTTTCAGAAATCACGTGACCAGTGCGTTTAACCAGAGTTTTCTGACGTACCATGCCACAGTTGAGGTTTTTCTCCACCTTACAGAAGGTGTGAGGCGGCGTCTCCCCCTTGCTGGCGATGATGACACAGATGTCCGTCACTGCCAGGGAGTTCTGAGGTTGGACAGGATGTGCTCGACGGAGAGTGATGAAGATGCGCTGTGATGTGGTGGAGCTGTTGTTGACATTGGCGCAGCGGCCGTACGGAGTGGCCTTGATGACCTCACAGCCCTGGATCAGACGCTCCTTACCCTCGTAGAGCACCCTGTGACGGAGGGTGTTGGAAACATTTGACCTGATTGACTTATTTTTCATTGGAATTATACTTTTTTTTTTTGTTCTTCTTATTTTGCTGATTTTTGTATTGAACTTTGTATGGAATGACTCTTTGGACAAGCTAACAGGATTGAGATTACGACCCACAATAGACAAATGATTGCAGCACCTCATGCTGTGTTTGCCTTTTCGTGTTGTTTCTGAACCTTTTATATCTGATCGTAGTGTTTATTACTTTACTTATTATTTTTCTTGTCTTGATGCCCATCCTATTTGTTTTGCTTTTGTCTTGAGTTAATTGATTGTAACCTATTGGCCCTTAGGACTACTGAGATGATCACCTTTCCTGGTTTACCCCTCTTCTATTATTTGATTTTTGTGATTGATGTAGCTTTCATAGTTAGTGGTGACAAGTTATGGAAGTGGATAAAATTCCTTATTATTTTACTTCTTTTTATTTTTCCTTATTTGGTTTTGTTTTGTTTGTTGCTTCCTTTTGTTTGGTTGTCCTATTCGGATAAACAAAAGAGAATGTTATGGAAAATTTATGTTTATTAATTCTTGATCATGAACTCAATCAACTGAATGCAATATCTGCTGCTCTATGCCTCTCTGCATGCACGCACGCACGCACGCACGCACGCACGCACACACACACACACACACACACACACACACACACACACACACACACACACACACACACACACACACACACACACACACACACACACACACACACACACACACACACACACACACACACACACACACACACACACACACACACACACACACACACACACACACACACACACACTCTCTCTCTCTCTCTCTCTCCACTTCTTATCTATCTGACTCCCCTCTCTATAAATAAAGCCTGTGAACAGATGTTCGAGGCATTTGCTTCGACATCTTGCCCCAGTTATAACTGTCTGACTTGTCTGCTCATTGTCTCCTTCTCTCTTCACTATAGGTAATGGCTTATTGATAAACATATTGATAAAACCCATGACAGTGCTAAAACGACCCTTCACAGGGCTAATGAAATGTCGCTCAGACCCTGGCCAGAATACCACATTTGTAACTTCAGAGTGCCGGGCCGCTCTGTTGGGAGTTAGACAAAAGTGAGCTGACAAACTTGGCGAGTTGTGAAGCAATTCTCTGCCAGGACAGCAGGGGGCATACACCTCTTCTGGTAGGTGTGTCCACTCAAGAAGTAATGGCTGACGGAGTTTTCATTGAGCCGGAACAGCTTGATCTCGAGGAACAAAATAATTTAAAGGGAGCGAGGGAGACAGTGGTGTGGGTGGAATGTCCACTGGACAGGACAAGGCACATGACAGGCGAATACGCAGCTTCTGTGAGGTTTCTTCACTACTCTGTCAACAGTGGCACTGTTTAAATATTTAAAGGAAGTGGCGTCAAGATAGCAATAATCCCTGGATGTTATTGGGCCGAACAGATGTGTGCTCTCCGTTGTATTTGACAGATAGTTTGGGCTCTAGTCTGTCCCTCTTTGAGCGCCTGTCGGTTAATAGTGTTGCATGTCTCCGCATATTAGCAGATGAAACATATAAACTAGGCTAAATACTCAGTAAGTTCTGGGTTTAATCAAGAGGCCTCCTACCAGTGGAAAAATCAGGAAAAACCACCAGAGGTGACCAGAAAGAGGACCGAACCACCTCAGCGGTGGAGGAGCAGCGGCCCCACTCCCTAGCTCCTAACCTCAAATCTTAACCTCGCTACCTTAATGAGGTACGTCACTTTAGTATCCAAGATCTCATTCTTTCAGTCATGATACAGATCTTAATATGGGTGGATCAGTTAATTGAGAGTTTGCCTTCTGGCTCAGCTCCTTCACCCAGATTGAAGCAACGCAACACCAAGATACTTTAACCCCTAGACTGGAGGCAGCTCAACCTGGAGACTTTTTATCCCGTTTACACAAATACACCAACTTGTAAAAAACTTATGCAGTAAATTCCATCAATGACGTTACATTTTTAAAACAGGCTTAGAAGCCTTTATAGATATGACCGTTCGTTATTAGACTGTCTGTGGTGCTGCAGACGTAAACCTGTATAAGAAGCCACCACTCCAGAGAGGGGAGAAGAACATCTACAGATGCATCTTTAGAGGTGTCCAAAAAAAAACTATAATTACTTTAATAAAACTCAAGGTTAATGTGACACATTACAATCTAGCAGTTGCCCCATTTAAAAAGACTTCTTGGGCAAATACTGCAGTAGTCCGTCTCCTTACTGGAAGGGAATGGTCCACAGAAGGAGTGGGAGAGTGTGTGAGTCCCATGAGTCAAGAAGGTTGCTCTTTGTTTTTAGATGTTTTGTGGTTTTGCAGTTCTTTGGGGTTTAAAGCTCTGGTTTTCCAACTTCACTGAGTGGTTCAGACCATTTAGCTAGATGACTCATTCCAGTCATAGACAGTAAAGTTATTATCATGTCTAGTAATAAAATCAACCCCCAACCTAAAAAGTTTGTGCTTTCCAAGTCTTTTCGCTCTGATTTTGGACTAGGAAACATCTAAAGGATGCAGCCAGGAAAGTAATAAGTACCCCACTGTGTTCAGATTTTTTGCATGACTGCAGGGCTTCTAAGGCAGCATGCTCCGTGTCCTCCCTTTCCATCTGGACAAAGCCATGTGGGAGGCCAAAACATCTAACGGCAACAATAGTCAAACCAAGACTAAAACATTTGTTTTTCTTTCAATCTTGGACAAGCATGAAGGCAGTCTTGGCAGATAGAAATGCCCCGAAACCCTCCAATCACTCTGAAAAGAGTGCCGGACAAACCTTAAGAGGCCAGGAGGGAAGAGTTGCCAACAAATTCTCATTTAGGAAACAAAAACAAGCGTCCTAATGGGCTCAGGAAAGCAAGATGCTCCAGCACCCACGGCTGGGAATGCTCCAGGGAAAGCAGCGCTAGCAGGAGCACAATCAGCTACAATTTCAATTGATGCAGAGAGCAAACTAATTTAATATATTTGTCCTCTTAGCTTAGGTGATTTAGCTCAACGCATCAATTTATTTGTTTAGCAACTTTACAAAGACAGTGATCCTGTCATTTAGCTGATTAATACTCGACTTCACGTCGTCTTCATAGCAAGTCTTGGTGCAGAAATGAACAAACTTCATTAACGTGCCTCATTAGCTGCATCACTAATATATATCCCTCCGGTATCCCAGTTCCCTTCTGTGTTGTTCTTTTCACCCCGTATCACTATTGGCACTCTAAACAAGATTGCACAATCTGTAAACATGACTAACGCTAAGCCACGGCACCACAATGCAGCAGTCAGGAGCCGTTCGAAAGTTTTAAACCACATTTAATCTTTCTTCCTAGTATACCATATTCAAATATAGTGTAACTCTTCAATTCCAATACCAATATAAGAAAAGAAAGAAGGACTAAATCCTTTCAGATCTCTAACATCACATATCTCCAGCTGTGCCACATTGACAGTCCAAAAACTAGACATTGAATTGGTCATATTGTGGGAGAGGAGAAGGTGCTTAAGAGTTTCATGTAAAACATGTGTGTGGTATGTAAAAGTCGGGTCAATAAAAATGACAGATAATTACCAATGTTATATTTTGATGCCAATATCAGCCGATAATATCGGTTACCCTAATAGATGCTAATAAATACAACAAACTCTTCACAGAGGAAAGCCCGACTGGTCAGATAGATGCAGAGTCAAACTGGATCTCTCCGTGACTGAGCACTTATAGATGCTCATAACCAGAAACTCCAGGGAGAACCAGAAACAGGCTTCAGAAAGAGACTTAAACGAGAGGAGAGGTTCAACGCCTCGGGCCGCGTTGCATCGTCATTTTGAATGAAGCCCATCTGTCATTTATTGAACCCAGACGATAGAGGAGACAGGCTACGTCTTTAAAGGTAAATTAGAAGAAACTGAGTTGGAGACGAATTTACATAAAGCAAACAGCAGCAGTTTTCCTCTGGCACTGGAAAAAGTTGGCATGTCATCAAACTTAAATGATGTAAATGTGAGCACCAGGAACACTCAAAGCAAAGATCATGTTTATGAAGAAAAGTCTGTTTGTCCTTCTGAATGGTCTTAAATGCAAACTTGAGTTTGAAAAAGTGGTTTTTCATCCTCATTATGCTGTGATGTAACCCGATTACCGTTCAAGTGACTTGATCGCAGCATCCCTACGATAACCAATCACAAGACTCTGACTCACCCGATGTCGGTGAGTGGAGGTTTCCCCCGACCTCTTTTGTAGCACAGGAAGAGCTCAGGACTCTTGAGGCTGCCATGGTTCAGGTTGGCTGGCTGGCCGCTGTAGGTGTTCTCAATGCAAGTAAAGCCCTCAGGGACGGTTTCTCCTGCAGACCTGTTGATGACAGCTAGGTCCGTGATGGGGGCCTTGGGCCCGCTGGACTTAGTCTCCGACAGGTCCTGCTCCAGAGACGTGGACTTGTCAGTCAAGCCGGCCACCACAAAGTAGTCGGTCACACGGTGACCCTTGTCTTCGATCATGGCTCGGCAGACCTGAGACTTAAGACAATAAAAAAAGAAAACATTTTAGTCTAGTTCCATCCATTTATACCATTTGTCAAAGAACAGGTTATCAAAATGCTGAGAGACACACAGAATATCGACGCTACGCCCGAGGCAAGAAAAGGACCCTTCCTCCACAGCGGAGCAGAAAAACTGGGGGAACACAAGTGACGAAGAGGAGACTGGATCTCTACAAACACTCTCGTCATTGTGTATCACAGAGCTGCTCCAAACACTGGGAGTTAAGGTCCTGGTGGCAGCAGAGCGCCCAGGCAGAGCCACCGAGCCAAGAAGAATGCTCAGGAATGTCACACACACAGTGTAAATCAATCTAGGCTATAAAACTCTGAAAATATGGTCTCAAATGTGGCTCGAAGAATTAAAACTACAAAGATCATACTTGCTTTAATGGCAGAAGCACATGTGACGTGTTTTAGCTGTTACATTATGAGTATCCTTATCAACAAGATTAAACTAAATCCCACCAGCAGCCAATGACTCAATGAATTGAATGAAATATATTTACTTTACAATTAAATTAGTAAATAGTGTCTGAAAGTGCAGGAAAAACTAAAACAGCACATCCTTAGGGTAGCCTTATGTATCAGGGAGGAGTTTTGGCCAAGCTCTCATTGGAGGAATGCAAATCGTCTATTGTTGCCTTTAGGGGGCCCTTTCATGGAAAACCCACTTTTTGGAGCTAGTAACAAGGTGATATAGTTATTCCCTCAGGAAAAAAACCCCAAACCTGTTGCATTCATGCATTTTCCTGTTTCAGCTGCAAACTTTGAGTTTTACATTGAAAATCCTGTAAAGCATTAATAGAAACTAGTCCCGACATCAATTCAATTCAATTCAATTCAAAAATATTTTATTAATCCCAGAGGCCTGCTTAATCAGGCCTGATTCTCTCCCGGATCCCATCTCTGGTCTGAAACCCGTCTCCTCTAGTCAGTACAGGATATGTGGCTTGGGCGACTATTGTCATGTAACACGTTTAGTGGTTAGAGTGCTGGGCAGACGTGCAGTTTTGTAACTTTTTCTTCTTTTTTTTAGCTGCACTTGCCAGTATGATGTTTTCAACCCCTGGAGGAGGCTCTGTTATGTTCTGGAGCTGCTTTGCTGCATCTGACACAGGAGGTCTTGGATCTGAGCAGGGTTCCATGAAATCTCAAGACTATCTAGAGAGAAATGTGCTGGCCAGTGTCAGAAAGCTTGGTCTCAGACACATGTGATTGTAGTGGGGGTACCATCTTTTTTGTCCAGGCCTGTTCCAAGAGTTTATATTTTTTTTAATAATTCAGTTGAAGCATGATTAAAAAGCAATGTCTGACTTTCATTGGTAAAATTTCATACAACTATTATTGATAATCAGATTTGTCAGACTCAAGTTATTTCTGTGACCATTGTGGGTTTTTCTTTCATTGACTGAAGGGTACCAACAATTTTGTCCACATCTGTATGAGCGGTGCAGTGAGAAGAAGGAAATAAGCGACAGAGACCAGATGGCCACAGCCTTAATGATAACGGCCGTAGTAGCACCAGACGAAAAACTGCCCACCCAAAACAAATAAACAAATGTGTATTGGTCCTTACAAGCTTGTAGCCAACGCGTCAAACACTGGCCTCTCACAACACACAAAACAGATGCTGGGCCAGTCAGGAGCCCCATAAAAAAACGCCTCTTTGGTGTTGTCTGAAATCGCCATTTCGTTCAGTCTTATTATGCAGCGCTGTATTCTAAATGAATGATTTATGGAAAACTGTCATCAGGAGACATGCTGGTTGTTCACACAAGCTTGATATTTACCTCAAAAGGCTTCAACTTTGACTCCATTTCCCAGAGCTGCCAGTTCACTAGTAATTAGCCACCACACAAACGTCAAGGGCACCGTTTCAACACCTGACAAAACATATCCCACGTTCAGACACGCAATGGTCCTCTTTATTAAAGGAATACAAAGACTAGTGAACGCGGGCAACAAAAAGATGCAACAAGAAAATGAAGTGACCTAAAGCAAGCACTCTGTGTTCAAAAAGCTCTTAGAAGTGAGTTTTCCAGAGGTGAGTCAGCTGTGGCAGGACAAATAAAAAGCTTCAGCCACAGTGAGCCTAAAGCCTCAGACCTTTGGTTAAAGATTAAATCCTAAAATCTTTCATTGTGATTTTTTAAATTCATGTTTTATTTTGAAACCAAACAAAGATGAAGGCTGAGAAAATGAAACACGGCATCTAAATTAGGCTTTGTTCTTTAAAAAAAGAGTGACCAACATTAAATATGTGACTTTAAACTTCTGAGCAGTAATGGTACACATCAATCTTGGCTGCACAGGAGGAGTCTGACCCGTTTCAGCTTTAAAATAATAAAAAGGTCTAAACGACTTTAAAAGCATTTATATGTAGTTTGACCTCTCTCCACATGTTTTATACCCAAAATGTATGTAATAAATCATGCAATTCATGGGAAGTGGTCCCTTAATTTATGTTTCATGCTTTTGAACAAACATCTGAACAATTAAAGCAGTTTTTCTTTTTGATCTTTGGACTAAACTTGGCCATTTGCCCATGTGAACGTTCAAAAACCCACTTCTGTACCTTTCAAGAATTATAGTAGGATATTTGCACAGAATTAATCCTGTGAAAACATGGAGCAAAGTTAATATGTGTATTAACCATATGTTGAGGTTAAGCTGCCAACAGGATCAGCAGACATTGGGGGGGGGGGTTGTGTACTGGCTAGAATCTGGCTAGGGGTGTAGAAAAATATCGATACACTGAAATCTCAACATACTTTATGTTATAAAACAGAATCAATTTAAATGCAGTGTGTCAATTTTTTATTAAGAAAGTGAATGCTAATGTTTAATGCATTTCTTTTACATGGTGCAATTCAAACTAAAAGTGCTAGGTGGCATCAGATTTTACGTCTTCATTCTGACTGAACAAGATCTCACAATAACACTGGATGATTTTGGGATGTCTCCACCCTGAGTTGTTAAATTAAATTCAATCTTAAAATGTTATGTTTTATATAAAAAATATAATATGTATGTATAATATATATGCATGTATAATATTACAATATATACATGTATAATATATATATATATATATATACACATATGTATTTTTAAATAATATATCACATCACCAGATTCTAGCCAATGCACACAACTCTGTTGATACGATATGCATCACTCATTCATAACACAAAACATCACAATATTTGAATGTATCAATGTTTTCTCACATTCATAGCAATCATGTGTTAAAGTTGCAATGACAACTTTGGAAAAGAAATTACAGTATTGACCCGACTATAGGACGACCCTCCTTTCCAAGACTAATCTTCAGGAAAAAAAAAAATAAAAATAAAAATCACTTTTTAAATAAACTATTTTATTGGAAATTTGAGAACAAATAGTGAGCAAAAATTATTTTTCATGCAAACTATCAGAACTTTGCTGACATGTGAAAGCAAAAGTCAAATGAGGCTTTCATTCAGACACCCTCTGCCTCGCTGTACTCACTCATGCTGCTGCGGTCCCGGTGTACCATCAGATTGCTACACCTGTCCTGCCGGCTCCTCCCATTGAATGTCATTCTCACTGCCATCCAAGGCATCCATGCATGCAATGTTTGACACATCTGCTGAACTGACCACCATCATCATAAAATTCGAATAACTCTGCCATACTGTGTTAACTTGCCCCAATGTCGGTCCACTCTGCTCCGGACCTCCCGTTTTTTTTTTTCCTCCTGTTGGGAACAAACAGCCTGGCGTCCTCTGCTGTTACGGGCATGTAATGACCCAAGACAAATAGCAGCATGTGTGAAAGCTTAGACCCCGATTATAAGACGACCCCATATTTTAAAATTATTTTCAATGAAAAAAAACCTCGTCTAATATTCGGGTCAATACGGTATGAATATTATATATATATATATATATATATATATATATATATATATATATATATATATATATAGTGGAGATAGTGGAGATAATAACATGGTTCTCTCGCATTTGTATAAAAACCTCGCCAACAACGCGTTTAGTACCAAAAGCAACCATCGGACAGTCCGATTGTCGCATAGCTGAACCGGCGCACTTTCCTGGGTCCTCCAATCATTATGAACTCACGTATCTAACAACAGAACACCACCGTGTGAGAGGCTGTCCGCTCAATATTATCAGAGAAGAAGAAACACCCATCTGCTACCACTTCCTTTTTAGGACAAACTAACAGAGTCTCCCCCCCCCCCCCCCCCCCCAAAAGACCTACCATTTGAAGTCATAGACCAAAAAAAGACGTTTGGACGCATAACAGCGACTGGTTTTTTGCGCTCTCTGGTTTCTTCTGGCAACACGTTTCCTGTTTCAGCAGAAGCGTCTTAGGGAAGATACTCAAGGAGAGGGGTGAGTGTTCTATGACCTTGGTTGCATTCAAACCCTAGCTTGTTCTGTAGATTCGCTATTACAGCTTTAAATTAATTTAATTACAGGACACTCCTTCTGAAGAGTGTCTCCATCTTTGCTGTTCTGGTAATCGACTCCAGGCATGCCCTTTTATGATATAATAAAGACTTATCAATGACCTGCCTCCTGTTAGCTTTTACTGGATATTTTCATTTTATGATAGTGCACATCTGCAATTTTGAGCCTAGACTGACTGCTTTGAAGATATTTACTGCATTGTATCCATGGCAACTGCTCCCTGGCCTAACCCTATTCAACAGAAAACAACTTGTTAGACCAGAGGTTCTCTAAAACAAACATAATAGTTAAATAGCCTCGGATTGTACCCTTAAACCGGTCTTCTGAACTGATGTTTAATAAACATCTTTTTTTGTTAGTTTATTGTTGAAACAAAAACTCAACAGAACTCAAAAGAAATGTAACATTTTTATTACAATTATTTATATGAACATAGTCCTACAGAATTACAGTATATCCTTTTACATTTATTTTGTAAAACCTTGTGTTCGCCCAGCCC